GAAGTTCCAATATATAGATTATTCATTTCCCCGAACACCTCTATTTTTTACAATAATCCAAAACCCTATAATCCGTTGGATTATCGCCAATAATCGTGATTATTGGACTGTCCGAACGGGCCCTAAATTTCATAAAAAAACTTTATTTTTTGTATGTAAATTGAGCCCGACAGCTACCTGACAGTCACCCTGACAGCCACCGTCGGAGCCTACATACACGTAAGTAGGGTACCTACTCTACATGATGCGCGTTGATCTACAGCCCAACGGGCAATTGCACACTGAGCCGGGACTACATAGCTAAAAACGCTAGATTGTGTATTCTAGCTGGAGAGAGGTATAGCTGGCGCCTAGGTAGACCACGACATGTACATGTAGTAGTACATACATGCACCAACCCATGTTCGTCGTTATATTCGAGCAACTTTAACATACATTCAATACACCAGCTTTTTAATCTAGTCTAAATCTTTACCAATACGTATAAAAGTACATAAATGTACGTGCATGTAGTAAGTTAACAACCAGTTCAACAAAGGGGCCACAGATGGGTACAGCGAGAGGTAAAATTATTGTAGAAACAGGGGTCTAAAAACAGGGTTTCTGTGGCTGGGCAAGCCAATAGGACTCCTCCCATATTTCTCGCAAGCTGTACATGATAGCTAACGAGAATGCACATGTCTCACATGAGAAGGTAAAACTCGAGCCTATCGACATCGACGCATTTGAATCACTTAGCGGCAGAAATGTTTTTCTAGACGGCCACGGATCGACAAATCGAGGACTGATGATTCAGTGCGTCTGTACGTACGTAATAGATACAAACCAGTTAATTGTTGACATGTCAACAGTGAGCACTTGTTAAGTACCTTAAAAGAAGCGAAGAGACACTTATCCCATCTCCATACCATGAGTACTACCAGGCTTGTAAAGGGTTTTCTTTAGCAATAGGCAAAGGGATATCGGCCCGTCCTATAGAGTATGATTTGCGCCAACCTAAGACTGCGTATTATTCCACTGGAAGAAGCCACTCACTTCGGGGCGTAAGCCACAGAAACTAGCATTAATTTGTGTGGCTCACACCATAATTTTTTCTGCCTCCATCAGAAGAGACTGGTCTCTTCTAGTAGAATAAGATGATACCGTACTTCCATACCCACATCATTGCTAACCAAGATAGAGGACTTGAGTCGATATCCTCCCGGTTTCTTGGTAGAAACTGCAAGGTTCAAAGGATTTTTCCAGCTATTAGTGGTATGGATTGTAACTGAACCTGGGCCCTGGAATTACTCGACTGGTCAACTTGGTATTGTTAAGTGGATTACATATGTATCCGGAAATCTAATTCACTGGTGCTTATTACCTCACCTACAGTTTCTGCCCTCAGCTCGTTTTCTAATCGTTTCCATGATTTAGCTAGTGACAACAATATTTATGTTTCATATGTACACCTCTAAAGCATGCGCATGTCTTATATATACATGTATGTATGTACTTCTACCCGGATCCTGCATCGGGAGCTTAGGCCAATCATATGGGTATATACCGATTTTTATTACAGCCGTGCGCAGTTTCCGCCTGACAACCCGATTCTATATAATTTCTTATACTCCCTCAGGCTACTGATTTTGTTCTTTGAAATAGTGGTCTATTTTCTTCCGGATAGGAAAACATAGTTATCTTTATCCAAATCATCGAAAAATACATTGAATTCTCCTCCATGCGCAGTAATTATGGCAATGTGAGTGTATCTTCAAGAGTAAAAAATGGGCGTTGACCCAATTGATCATACTAACTGACTGATTAAGTAGCCAGGAGCTTTCTAAATTATCTGAGAAGGTTTTTCCTAGAAGGCTTTCTCTATATATATAGATATCTAGATGCTTATGGTTGTATAGCGTTCGAAGCAGACATCAGTACCGCCACCAAGCCAAGAAATACGTGTGATTACAACCCGCATTATTCGAATTCCTAGATTTATCGTGGGGCTTTTCTTCCAGATCTATGCCGAAAGATCGTGTCCTACTATTCTCGTGGGATGGATACTTATTTTAATGGCCAAAATTGTTTCTGCTATACCCGGCGAAGGGCAGAATGTCAACGAAACGACTGACTTTGCTTCAAGACTGAACGATCCATATCATACTGGAGTGCATGGAGTCGGGGTCCCTGTGGAATGCCGACGTAGATTCAACATGTTTTTGGACGGGAGTTCGCAGTACGACCAAATCGGGATGTCGGTGTCGACAACTCTCATGGCTTTGGTTCCGACTCTGTTGAGCTTTGCCCCATTACCAATGGCCGAAATAAGATCTTTACTCTATTTTAACACAGAGTTAGCGTTACTTACTGCTGCAATGACATTGGGTTTATATAACAAAGGCACGAGCACACTAAAAAAAAGAAACCTTTTAACAGTGAAGGAGTTAGTCACACGGCGTATAGATATAGGCACCTTGGTTAGGCCGTCTGCAGACGCAGGAACGCAAGGTAATATCTCTCTACCTCCAATGGAAACTTTATATCCTAGGATTATAGTATGTATGTCTAATGGTTTAAATCAGTTCCAGAAGACAATGTCTCACAATCACTGGCACAAGAAGATGGGGCAGTATCTGAAATTAACGTGGAAGTACCTAAACGGTACAGGGACTATTATCCTAAGAAGATTCCAGTACCGGACCTTAAACAGCCCCCAACAAATGAGAATTCAGTTGCAGATTGGAAAGAAGGCACGATTACACTTGAAAAAATTCAATTAATGGCCATAAAAGGCCATGCCGATAGGCCCAGGCGTATAAAGATATTTGTCATGATATTCTTTTTTTGTCTTCTGCAGATTACCTTCTTCGGGATACTTGTTCGCGGTTTACCAATGATCGACGACATTGAATTTATTTGGGCATGCCCTTTGCAGAGTTCGAGTTACTTTACATGGTGGGTTGGTGGTACGGCCGTGGGAGCGGGCTTAATTCGAACTTCATATTCATCTTCGGCCGTCGTCGACAGCGAAATCTTTAAACTCAGTCCAGTGCATAACAACCAAAATGAAATGCTTGATCCGAAAGGGTGTGAGATATGTTCTATCGATGAGAAAGACCCTCCTCAGATAGGGTCCGTTGTTCTCTTTTTCAGGGACCTTTTTAACTTTCTTAAGTAATGGTATCCCCTAGTCGAATCACGAGTATCTAGAGCTGATATATGTGTGTGGTAGATGGATTCTTTGTTTAGGAGATTTCCCAATAACCATCTGTTCAGCAATCCAGCGCCTTGGGGTTATCTTGCGTAGTCTAGGTCATAGCCATCCAATGGTTGTGGTAGTTCGATATCCGTTAGATTCTGAAATATTCTTCCGGAACCACCCACTATGCACGATATTCTTTGGCTACGCACAAGCTTTAGCTCTGATTTTTCTCACGTTTCTCTTTGGAAGTGCATGGAATGGGACGCTATTCTATACACTCGCGTTTGTCTCCGGGTTCTTAACGGTGATAATGGGGTCAAGAGCATTGAGTTTGTTGCTTTGCCGATGGATGGAAATCAAACTCAATACGGTTGTTATCGAGTGCGAGGATGAAAAAGAAAAATTGGAGATTAGAAAGGTTCTCCTTTCAATGCCCGGGGTATTGATAGAAAGCACAACAAGGAACTACAAGTATGTGGGTGGGTACAGATTCGATACCGATACCGATAATGGCCACACGCACGATCACGTTCACACATTTCCCGAACTAGTCACAGGCCCAAACTCTCAGCCCCGACCACAGGCCCATCAGTGGAGAGCAATTGGCATTGGCTTTGGTATCATAGGGGGGTCGTGGTTTGGCTCCTAGCAACAACGATATTTTATATCGCCTCGATACCCGCAAATGAACCATTCTATCCAGGGGTTCAACATGTGCAAGCGGACTCAAGAATCATAAGTACTTATTTTTTCCCCTCTATTTCTGTGTCAGTGGCATTAGGCTTTCTGTTGGGGTTTACCTTTGGTGTAAAAGTAAGATGTGAATTTGGATCGTTGGTTATTGGGGAAGATATACCGGCATTGGATCTAGCGTTGGACTCTGAATATGTGTAGAGCAGCACGTAGCCTTTTACTCTACATGATCTATTCAGATTGAACCCTGGTAGGTAACGATGCATCATTACTAGGACTGTCTGTCAACATATATGGGATATGCAATGCGCAACAGGATACAATCTTCACGATTTGCGGTATTTGTCGGGTATCAATGAGAAGGGGTTAAAGGCAACTGTCTTTTTGTTTTCATGCCATTTTCTTTCTACAATTTCAAAGGCCTACTTTCATTTTATTTCACAGAATTACGAGTTTACGGAGCTTCGGCGATGATTTCTTTCCATTTTTCAATTTCTACCTATATTTAACCCTTTTTCTAGAGTCTATTTTGTCCCGGGGGGGTCTGGGGGATAACCTTCTTCGCTTTCATTCATATCCGATGGGGTTGTCATGTAAGATCACTCAGTCATTAAAGTACGTTATAAATATCGACCCGATATCCTTAACTTAGAGCGCAAGATATATTTCTCGACGTCTATATTCGGGTACCCCAAGCTTTGGGAGGAGCCTTCCTCTTATAGTGCGGGGGCGGTATTTTCGCTCTTGCCTGTAGTAGGTATGCCACTCATTCTTTCGGTAAGATCTACTATAGGCAGCCAAACCAAGGTAACAGAAAAAGGAGTATACGTAGTGACGATGCGTACTCAACCACCAGCTCATAATTATATATATATGTCTCCAATCATAAGCGACTCAATATTAATTCCGCACAAACAACCAGCCAGTCCCTAACGTCTAGGAGTGCTTACAGTAAAAAAAAAAAAGACAAGGTCATATGGGAGGGGTATTCGGTCCAGTACCCCATCTAAATACTATTTTAAAAGGGCTTTTTCCAGAAAATAAAACAATAAAACATAAAGGAAATGATTAGTCAGCCACACACCAAATTACGCCGAGTGATATATCGTGATACGGATATGACCTAGGCCTCAGGCCTCCGCGAGCTGGACTTCTTGGCTCTGAAACATAGACTAGACATCATAAATGTTAGTATTATAGATCTGACATAATAAGAATAAGAAAGCACTTACAACTCGGCCCTCGAGTACTTCCTCAACTGACTCAAGATACTCTTCATGCCCGCCAGCTCACCCTGAAGCCCCTGCCTCGCTTCAGCATCACTGCCGCGGTCCAGCTCCAAGTAGATCTTCTGCTGCCAGTCCTTGGCACGCGCAGTATTGAACTGACTTAGTGTCTGGTTGACGAACTCGACATCGAGCGTTGCCTGCAGGAGCTCACCGAGATTGAATCTTTTCCGCTGTTTGAATGCTTCTAGCAGCTCCTTGGACAACTGCTCCAGGAGATGGGATAGAATTGGTTGTGTAAGAGAGGGCGCTGTAGTGGTTACTTGCGAGTGGACGTGTACAAGGGTGAGAAGGGCGTCGTAGATGTAGGGGCGTACTTCAGTTGCGATGGAGCCGCGTGGTGGTGACCAACTGGGAGTTAGGATGCCTGTAGTTACGATGTTTGTTAGGTTTGCGATGATGGGCTTGGTGTATTCATCAAAGAGCTGGGCATCAATTTGGCCAAGTGCATCGCGGATTGTCTAAGCAAATTAGTTTGGGGAGTTTAGTTAGAAGTGAGTTGAGAGGGAGGATGGTCACCTTGGATTCGTCAGTGAGCTTTACAGAGAATGCCTGCTCGAACATTGATATTAATTCCGGAACGATATCTGCTCTCAGCAGCTGCAGATTCGACAACGTCAACAACATGCGCACGTCCTTATCACTGCTATCCACACTATGCGCCATCAGATTCGCCGGGCTGATACTTGTGACCGGGCTCGCCAGCCCGCCCTCATCGTCAACCTCTGTCGGCACTTCCTCACCATCTACTAGAGGCTTCTTTGCATTCTCCACCATCCCTTGTAAGCTCTTATAAAGCGACCTGACAAACTGCCCCCTAACATGGGTGAGAAGTTTTGTACTCGGCGGAGGAATCACCGCGCTATTTGAGTTCTTGACCTTATCAAGATACACCATTCCTTGCATCCCACCAATAATCTCCCTCTCCCACGCCGAAAACAATCCCGGCATCTTCGTCACATCACGGTTATCTACCGCCCGCGTCCAGTCCTCAAGGACACGGCAATTCTGCGCATCTTTGAGCCAGGAGCTACACACAGCTACCACCGCGCGCTCACGGCCGCCTGCTACCATGACCTTGAGCTTGTCAGCGATACCATCTTTACCAAGCTTTCCAGCCATGTCGGCCATTGCAATGGCAGCATTGCCGACGAGAACCATGATCTTGCCCATGAAATGGACACCACTGAGAGAGTTGGCGCCTGGAGGGAAGAATGCGTATCCCTCTTCGCCCTCCTTCTTCTGGGGCGCGGCTGCCTTGAGAATTTGTGGAAGCTGAGGGGTCGGGGGTGCTTCATCGGAGGTACTGCTGACGGGAGTAGGTGGGACAGGGGAGTACATTGTTGATACGTCATCAACAGGGGGTTCTTGGAAAAAGGCTATAACACAGTCGCGGATGAGGGCTACAATCTCGACGGTGCCTTCACGGAGCATCCGGATATTAAGGTCTTCGAGGCGGTGGTGCTTGCGTGATTGGTCATCGATCCCGACAGGGAGAAGGGTGTCGCCATCAATGAATGATTGGGCGGTTTTCCAGAAGGAGAGGAGCTCGCCGAGCATACCGGTCGTGGGGTCAAGAAGTGCTGTTAGGGAGCTGTGGATAAGCTCCCAGAGAGAGATGGTACGTGAGGTATCGAGTTGTTTTTGGGGGTCCGGTTGGATGCGCCGCGTGGGAGAGCGGAGATGGTGTGCAATTGCCTTGGAGGAGGGCGGGGGTGCGGAGGCTACCTTTCGGCGGAGGACTAGGGGTATCAGGTGAGTGATTGTTCATGAAGATAGGGCGAGCGGTAGACAAACCTTCAATCTCCACCCGTGATCTCTCGAATACTGTGGTGATCCTGTTCTTTAGGTATTCATATCGACTTAATAGCCACACCCAGATTGGATTATCCTCTACTCCCAGCTCAAGCAAGATGCCGATGAGTTCCATATGCAAATTATCTTCTGTCCTACACTCTGCCAGCCTCTTCCACGTATCCCTCTTGAAATCATCAATCGCAAATGTAATTTCAATCCACATTTTCTCTGCAATGATCAATTGATGGATATGCTCCTCCTTGAAATTTACTACCAGGGACCCAGGTTCTGTTGGCACAAGGGCCCTCGCATCCATCAATGCTTTCCGTGCCTTTTGGTACTCGTCAATCAGGCTCTCGTAATCCTTTCTTTTGATACAATCATTCAAAAGCCCTGGAATCTCCAGAATGTCGCGATGGCGCTCCACCACACTCAGTAACGTGCGGAGCTCCTCTTCCCGCCCACGCCCCTTCATAACGGGGCCAAAGACATCATCGGCCTTCGCCTCAGCCTCATTAAGGTAGCTTCTAATTTTTCCCACCCCGTACTCGCTCTCTTTGTCTTTGTCCAGAAAGCTATTCGCCTTCATCTCCTTATACACACCCTCAATGGTTCCCTTTGCTGCCACAAACCGATCGAAATTACTTTCGACCAGCAGTTTGAGACTCCCGGACTTTTGTGCAATAGATCCTGACAAAAGATTCAACCCTCGCTGCAGCTCCGACGAGGGCGTCGTCGCGTGCACATCTCTCAGAAACGCCGTTGGACTAAAGGTCTTACTGCTAATGAGATAACGGTTACGCAGCCGTGTGTTCTCCTCTAAAGGAAGTCCCCTATCACGCAAGAGTCGCACCACGCTCGAGGTGCTACCAAGTGGATCTGGCTCATCTTCTGGTACGAAACCGCTGTCTGCATCGGGGCGGGTGAAGGAGGCGGAGATGCCCTCTTCTTGGAGGATACTGTAGCGGGTTGTGGAGGCGCGGAATTGCTTTCGTTGGGCGATTTGAAGGTCTTCAATGGGGTCAGACCAAGCCTCAGGGAAGGCACTGTCGAGACGGTAGTGCTTGAGGAGTAGGGCTTCGGAACGGTGGTCGGTCATTGTGAGCTGGGGGGTGGGGGGTGCACTGGAGCTATCCTGAGAGCTTGTTGCAGTGGTGTTTGGGTCGGAGCTCTTAGTGCAGTTACCCTGATGATACAGGTACCATACCACACAATTAACACCCCCATACATGATGTTTGAAGAATAATACCAGCGCCGCCTTTCCCACCATTTTTCTAGCTAGTCCTGCTCCCAGACTATACGCTAGCAGGATTCGCCGTAAACATTCAGTATTCAGATATATAACCTCCGGCGTCAGCATAACTGGATTTACGCAATTAAATGAGAAATTAAGCCACCAGAATTTCGCGCAGCTACACTAGCTGCAGACTGTGCAGGTCAAGAAACTATATCGTCCCAAAAACAATCGACTGGATGCATTTAATGAGCTGGTGGTCCATCTGGCTTAAAAATGATGACGCGACTGCAGTACTGGCACGGCAAGAGACAGACGAGGTGTGGACAAGTCTCGCACTCGTCTTGCCTTGTATTTTATGGAGCAAGTCTTGAAACTATCGAGACCTAGATCATGTCAAGTCTCGTCAAGGTTCCGGGACTTCGTGAGATCGATACCTTGGAGTGGCTAGCCATGATTACAGACTTACCCAGTCAATTGGGTTCTGATTAGAGTCTTTTAGCTACGCGAGTTGAACAGAAAGTCGAGTGGGACAGGAAGTCTGGCTGTTTTAGGAAGAGATTTGCCAATAAATTATGCAGGGCGTTTTATCGAAATGCTCAACTTTCTTTCCAATCTGACCCTAGTTGAGACTTTCAAATTTCAATTGCCTAAGTTTTAACTTATATTTTCTCGTTAACAACCAGCTAGTCCTGTCTTTTGTCCTAGGTCTCGACTCAGGTTAATCGTGCACTACATAAGAGTCCTTCCAGATTCTGTGGGCATATGGTCGTATATATGAAACAATCTGGTAGGACCTTCCGCGCAGTCAAACTAGGCAGAACTACAAAATCAACCAACTCAAATGCCGCCTGACCTCGAGACCGCAATGAGGGCTTGGATTTTCGACCCTTTACCCCGTCGATCGCAGACCTCAGAGGGTGATTGCGAATATCAAATCTTGTGGCTTAGGATCTTTCACGGACCGGCTTTCATACTGCAAGAAATAAAGGTGGTAAACACATATAACTACTCTGCTCATTATTTCCTAGAGGGTTTAGGTCACATAAAATCCAAAAAGAAATACTGTTTTTTTACGGCATCAATAGTAGCTCGTTTTAAAAATGATGCATTTAGAAATATATGCATTGTTGGAGTACCGCCTTGAAACCCCCATTTCTGAGAATCTCCCGTTTTGGGGAATTTTGGGTTGTTGGGAGTGCCTCACGGATATATACCATAGGATCGATCACCGAAACACTGTCTTTACGGTTAGGCCGTGCTAGCCGACTACGGCGGTGCGAGTGTGTGCGGATTTCACCCAAACCACCACCATCATCCATCAAAAACCTCATCAACCGAATTCGTCGGTGTTATTCAGTCATACAGAGAGTGCATAGAGGGCACATTTACATGAGCTACATACTCGAGGTAAGGAATTATTATCGGGCAATAAGGTTTCCCCCACTAATCTAGGCGTCAGCCTCCTCGGAGAAAAGATGTGTAATATTTTTACATGTAATTGTACTTCTCTTGTGTATATTACAGATACACCCGGTACTCAGCCTGCGAGTGGTGTTACCATGGCCAACTGCCCGTGTGGGAGAGTACTCGCTACTAGTACATTATGTCGTCTACCGATTTTGGAATCCAGCTATCAGCATAGCCCGCTAGCCTCGACTTGAGATCAGTCTAGACCTTTGGGTGTTGAACAGCGGGCTTTGGCCTTACTTTTGCCAGCCCCAGACATACTCGTCCCTTAGGTCCAAGACGCCAGCACCACAGCCTGTTCCATCAGGCATAGTTCAATTTACACATGTAGTATTCCCCTTTTCGTGTTTGGGTGGGGTGCGTGGTTGGCTGGATATTGTTTAGTTTAGTGTGAGTTCTACTCATACGGTATATATTAATTACTCGCGAACACTTCCCATGACGGCGTTTGCATTATAGGCTTTGGTCATCTCTCGCGCCGCGGAACACTGGTGATTCCAAATCCGCACTGAGTCCGCATCGGATATACCTCCGTTTAGTAGGTATCAGAGGCGAAAGAAAAACAAACGCTGTTTCTGTGGATTAAAATTTCGTATCCAGGATCTTAGGCTTCGGAGTTAAATTTAGAAAGATCCGAGGAAAGTTCCCAACTATACATTTCTAATCACTTGAAATATCAATTGCAACCACAGAGGCATTTGCACCTTTAGCTGGCCGCGGAATTCTGTTTAGAATCACAATATATCACTCGCATGTTCGGCCGATCCAGACCTACGGATTATTGATCAGTTGACCGTTCGTGTGTTCCAACCAAAATGTGAACAGTCATTTCTAGATTAATTGAAACCTGGGCCAGTAGCAATTGTTTCAAGGGACTGGTTAATTTGGATCTCTATATTATCTATTTATACATGTAAAATTCCCCGCTCACCATTATATTGGGATGTCCAGAAATTCCTATACTCCAGGTTTCAAAGTGATGAAACGTTCATTGAGCTTCTCAACCTAGCTGAGCTGAGATATACAGTGCATATGTATATATAGGAGTATTATTGATAGCCTACATACACGTCATTGATTCACCTAACATCCGGATCCTCTTTTATATAATTATTGGCCTATAATTAATAGATCTAGAGGCTCAACTTGTCCCTACCGAGTTCAAGTCGCGTAATTTTACATATGTGCACAGGTACAGCCGCTCACCTGCAAGTGACGGTAGATCCTATCCTGTCGTTAAAGTTAACGTTTAAATCCGGTTTTATCTTCGTTACCGGGGGGTTGTGAGCCGCATCGGCTGTTGTGCAGCGGGTTTCGTTCCGCACATACATACATGTATGTACTAAGAATCAAGTACTCGTAATTTTTTTGCGTTTCCGGACTGGACTGGGTCCGCATACCACCAAAATATGGGTGTCAAGCACGATTTACGCCCATATGCGGACCCAGTCCAGTCCGGAAACGCAAAACAATTACGAGTAGAGTACTCGGGGCAGGTAAAAAGTACCGGACAATGCAGGTTTTTGGTTCACCAATGGGCGCGCGTGCTAGGCGTGAACTACTGCAAAAAAAGCCCAGAGACAAAACTTGCATTGTCCAGTACTTTTTACCTGCCCCGAGTACATGTACTCGTAGTTTTTTGGCGTTTCCGGACGCAACTGCTGTTGCATGCCATACAAAGATAGCCTTGGCGAGTTTTTTCTGTGTATGCAATAGCAGTTGCATCCGGAAATGCCAAAAAACTACGGGTACATGCATACAGTCACTCACGGGGTGAAGGCGGATCCTGTCTGATGGCGGTCAGGGATTTGAGGCCAGTAAAATAGTTAGGTTCCGGACGCCAAGGGCAAATTACTGCAAACAGAACCATCAGACAGGATCCGCCATCAGTAGGTGAGCGAGTGTACATACATATACTTCTTAATTGTCAGCTGCATGTAGGGCCTGATCTTCAGAGCAAGGCTTTCAATCAGATACTCTACATATTGTACATGTATATTCCATTCTCCAGGCCGTGTGCCACACTAGAAAGTTGCACCGATCTACAAAATCTTGGATATATGGTGGGCGTCACGATATCGGGGCCGGTAAAAGTACATGAACGCCAAATCTATCTCCTAAACCACAACACAATATATTTTTGGTTAGAGGCTGTAGAATGACAGAGAATCAAGAGGATAATCATTCTACGGCCTTTAATTTTAATTGTCTTGTGGTTGAGGAGATAGACTTTGAAGTTGGGTGAGTTTGGTAGGGAGACATGTCAATTTTTACCCATACAAATTGTTAAGGCCAGATCAAAATCCACTAAAAATACCCCTGTCCATCACCATAAAGCACTCGGTTTAAGGGCGTTGCTCTGCCATCTGTGAGATCAAAAACACCTAAATAGGTGATTTACCTGATGGAGATTTTTACATGTGCCAAGACCGACCCCGATATCACCATAATATATATTTCTCGGTGATCGGCATGACCACGTACATAAATACATTATACCAACAAGTGTAAAGTTGTATCGTTGAGTTACTAACCAGTATAATCAAGGAAAACTATAAAGGGGGTAAAGATTGTAGTTGTGCTTTGTTTAACGCTATCAGTGTTGATTCTACTTGGCCAATTGGGCGTTCAGAAAATGGTCGTAAAAACAACATTAAAAGTCCCATAGTTGCAACGCTTACTTCCACGACCCTTTAGTGAACGCCTTGGTTAATCTCGCATTAAATCTCATGTATATCTTTGTCGAAGATCTGCAACGTCTCTCGATCGGTTGAGCATCATACTATAAAAATAGTTTATTTTTTATTTTTATTCATACTATAAAAATAGCTGTAATAAGCGGCAGTTGAATTCTGGTACTGCGAGTAACGCTAAATATTAGAGCTATTGCTGTAAATTAATTGATTTATTTGGGGGAACTATCAAGGCTGTCTGCTATATATTACTACTAGGGAATGTTTAGCTTACCCACCATCGATTCAATACCGTGTAGTTTGGAGGTTCGCTCTCGATCTCGAGCTCATTCGAATTCGAATTCGGCTTCTTATCTCTATACTGGGGGCCGGGTCGGATATACTAATGAGGTGATGAAAGACTTAAGCTTAGATGAACGGTCGTGATGGTTTGATTCTCTGTTACAGGAAAGATGAGTGGAGTGACGTGATGTGATAACGAGGGTGAAAAATAAAGAGAGAGCCTTGTCTATCCTCTTCCACCTTGGTACCCCACGGTGCAGGAAGAAGCACGAGTACTTGAGCAGGCAATGAGTCAAGGACAGATATGTAGTGATCTCAAGGCTCCTTGTCTTTTGGGACCACTACCATTGTATGTCAATATTGGGGACATGTCCTTGAGGTAAGGAAAACTATTCCCTTCTCACGTCGGTCCCCCACGTGCACGACTTCGACTGACTGAGCCACTGTAATTACTAATAGTACTATAAAACATCCTTTTCACACATATCCGATTATGATCAAGCTGAGTCAATGCAACGTTGACGACAACTAAGTATGAAGGCTTGATATTTTGGACTCTGCGGGAGATTGCGCGCGCGAAGGGTATATTAATGAATATGTATACATGAATCTTTCAATATGAGTACGAAATGATTACTTATAATTAAGTAGTCACCGACACAAAATATAATAGGATACCACTAAGCACCTAAATTATAAAGCCATTCGAGATTTGGCAATACATACTCCTCTCAAATTGCGAAGTCCGCCAATCAGTTTTGGATCTCGTAACATGACCCGCATGATGTGCGTGGCATAACATAATCGTGCACTGGTACTAGAGTGGATCGAAGTAGCACAAATACAAATATATCGGTCATACATTATATAAGGTGTCATGTACGTATTTAACTTTGATCGGTATCTGCAGGTTTTTTTTTATATCAATTCTCTAGTAGTTACCTAATGAGAATGGGCTGAAAGCAATGGACGACTTCTCATAAGCAACAGGCCGCGTTCTATCGCCCAATAGACCTGATTTTGTCTTTCTATCAAATAGAACCCATGTATCTAAAAGATGTGATAGAGCACCATATGCATCTTTGAGGGGGATAGAACTTTGGGTGCCTTCACCTTCCTTCTCCAGTTGGAAACTAACTAGGAAAAGTTTATTGCACGTTACTATACGTACATGTATATCTTATCTGCCTAGCTTAGTAAATGAATAGAACAAGTCCGGCGAATAGAAAATCACCCTTGCTTATGGGAACCCGATCTATCTAAGAGCCGCCCGCTATTGCAATAGAACATACTCTATTGCTTATGGGAAGTCGCCCAATCAACTACGCGTATACGTAATTATCAATCGAATTAATCAATGAGAACGAGTCTTGATCGAGCATAAAGGATAGATCTATACTAGTGGCTGCGGTTCGGTTTGGCCGGCTAGCTCATTGCTCGAGAGCGAGCCTCGTCATCAACTGGGAGCCTGTGCCGGCTTAAAACTCTTTTTTCTAGGGCTCAGGCGGCCTCTCCCAGCTAAGTCATGCAAAGGTCAATCGAATTAATCAAAAACTGCGCACTTACTTGCCGCAGTCCAATTAAGGAGCTACGATTGTACGTACAAGGGCGCTATAGCGCTATATATAAGGAGGGATCTGGGCTATAAAAAAATCTTTTACTAGAGCACGTATATATTCCAACTGCTCATTGATTTCACCATATCAGTGATCAGCTACGTACCTGCATGATTTTGATTCTCGAAATATTTTCTCGGTGACGTCGCGGACGATGCTCATACGTATACCTGTCAATTTAATACACATGGCAGAAGAATATCCCGGCCCGTTTGTTTTTTTTTTTTTTAAAAAAAAAAGCAAGATGTCCCTAGATACATCGAGCTTAGCTAGAATTTCTGCTATCGATTCACACTATGGGTTAATCTTACAATCAATCACTGCGTACATCTCCATGTCTAGAAATAAGCCTTTGTGATCGGATTAGCTGTGTGGTCGACCCAATACGAGGCTGCTCGAGGCCAACAGAGGCAAATGACTCGAGTTCCTCTATCCCGTATATATATCTTTATTTGCTTGTTCTTACAAAGAGAGATAATGCCTCAAGGTACTTGAGCTGCTCGATCGAGACAATTAGTATATTTAGACCTATAATACTGGTATATATACAATTCAAGCAAAGCAAATATATTGATTTGGCATAAATATTAACAAGACTGCATTATATTAACCCCTCTCTGGGAATCCCTTTTTCTATCTTGGAAATCAATAGGCCCGAAAATCTCCGAAAACCAGTGGGAACTCGGGACGGGCCGGTCAGAGACCAGGATCCCTCAGGCGACCATTCCAGTTGGAATCGAGATCAATGATCAAATCAGCTGTGGTAATTATGCTTTGATATACGTGAAAGGAGATGCTTTTCACGAAGTGAGACATAACTTTCCCTTGAGGCCATGCGCCAGCGCTGAGAAAACTTTGAGCAAATCTGTATATGTATGTACCACGTATTTATTATTACATGGCTCAGGTGGGAGACGTGTCTTCAGGGTTACCTTGTTATATCCCCTGGGTCGTAACAGCCGATATTGTGGTCCTTTTGGACCAATATTTTTTTCCGGTTTTTTCACCTAGAGGTGCGCCAAGCTCTTCCAACAAAGATTCGACTACACAGGGACGTTCGGGGGAGGCCTATTTTCTTTTGAGCCATCTGTAATAAGTATAGCGTCCGTGAATGTTGAGATATTTCGAATTTCCACCGTTGTTGTAGGAACTTTATTACGACCGAAGGGATAGATACATGAAAACCTTATATGTCATAGGCCTATGGCTATAGTTCTGAAGTGACTTAGTCCCGGCTCCTAATAATCAGCTAGCTATATGCCATGCATGGTGATGGTTCGGAGGCAGTTTTCTCTCCCAAAATTGCAGGCTATCTGTTAATTAAGTATATAAGCAGCAGCCTTTTGTTGTTCATTTCCCTCAAACCTACCAGCACGATCTATCTCATCACAGTTACCTAGGCCTTCTCTAAATACATATAAACCTTTAAATTGGATCGCGGTCATTCTACCAATTTCTTAATCTCGAGCAACTTGAAGATGCAGTCGACATCATGCAGATTTAGAGTTGAACAATGTATATATATATATACACACGACAAAACCAAAGTTCAATACTAGCGAAATCATTGCCTTGATCTCTTTGTTTGTATTTTTTGTACTTGGGATCGGTCAAGGGGTTCGGGCGCATTTTCACGCAAGTGGGTTAGTACGTAATGTCTTACTTCCACTTTATTTTACTGTGTTTAATTTGGAACTTTAGAATGCCAAGCTACAGGAGCTAGGAAACCAATTATTGAATATCGAAATGAGCATCTCTCGCAGGCGAGCTTCCCAAACCCTATCCAACCAGAACACCATAGTTCACACGTCCGCTACCTTGTTGGTAGAGAATCAACCGGGCCCCGTTGAATCTGCCCGGCCTCATTTGAGCAATTCATCTGCAGGTACCATTACAACTCCCTCTAGCTCTACTAATACTCCTCTGCGTGTTTCCGCCGACGAAATGGTGTGAGAGCTCAATCCCAACATTGGGCATATATAAAAGATCTTGCAATTGCATGGTCAATGAAGATTGTACAATTTTATTGTATTTAAATTTTAGAAGTGTAGCCTATATATATCGATATTATCTCAGGCATTTTTTCAAAGTATTCCTAAGGGGTTTCATCTCATTACACTAGGGCTTTCTTTATCCTCCATTATTTTTACATTACGTTGGATCACATTCATATCTAAGATTGTTTACATTAACATGCTCTATCTTTAATTTCCTTAAGTCTCGTTATATATAATACATGTACTTGATCTAGGTCTCATTTGTATCTCAGGCTGTTTAAAGCTCTCTTTTTTAGTTTCATTTATTTCGTCATACATATATAAGATGCTCCTACAATTGTTTAATCTGTCATTTTCTCAAGAGGCTTTGGGGTTATTGGTACATGGGCATAGATGGAATACATAGGGAGGTGTCAAGCTTTACGTACGTGTGTTGAATGGAGATCGAGAAATATGCCAAGACAGTCTAGTCCTACTATTAACCCCCAATACAGACAAAATAGTAGGGGGCCCCACTAGTGCCAACAGCAACAGCGCGAATCAGATCTAGCGCCACTTGGGTCTTAGGCGCAGAGATAATACAAGCTCTTGGCAACGAGGGGATTATACTTCGAAATATGGTCGGGAACGTCAATATCAACCTCCTCAATTGAAAACATAACCTATGAGAAATTTGAGAACCGGGTGTGGCTAAAATAATCCATTTTAGACTTTTAGCACCAAATTATTCGGTTCAATTTTTATAGATGGCAGTGGTTCTCATAGATTTCTCTGATAATGGTCCAAAACCACTGCCTGTGCCTAGACTACCTAGACAGTATTTCACCAGTATGGTGCATGCACCACTGAATGGATTGTCAGTCACAACCAAAAGTATTTTCATCTTTGAACTACTCTTTCATTATGTTTTCTTTACTCATACTATTCGTACATTCCTCGCCATAATACAGGAACAAAAAAAACAAGCCAACTAAATAAACGGAAATATCTTTATATTACCTTATTTTAGTGATGGATGTGAAGTTTCTCTATATCAAAGGTTAGTCCACTATTCGCATCAACCACTACCGCATATCCAAAGAGAAAAAGCTCACCCTTAATCTTCTCTGCCAATCCCTTATGACCTGATGATCCGCCGTCTGAGGGCGGCGGCGTAGTCTGGTTATCATGATGATGATCCTTCGGTGTATCTGTGTGGCTCTTATCCTTGTGCCCAGGCAAGAGCTTGCTATGTCCTAGGCCAGCAGTAACATCGGAGGTATCTGGCTTCGTTTCCTTCCCATGGTGAATACCCTTCTCATCGAGAAGACGACTAGCAACATCTATAGTTAGCATCCAATCAATCTCATGAAAAGCCATTAGGGATATCAACATACTCAGCTTCCTTCCCAGCACCCGGTCGGCTGGCATCGAAGTCGCCGCCTTCCGCCGCGACACCAGTAGACTTCTCATACTTCTCACCGGTACCTTGACTGTGCTCGTTATTTTGTGCTCCCAAACCCAAAGGCTTCGGCGCTCCGGTATCCCTCTTAGAGGTAGAAGTGGAGGTGTTTGAAGGCTCCTCGAGAGGTCTGTCGGCACCCTGCTGCTTTGGTGTCTGTTGCTGTGCGTGCCCGGGGTGGGCTCCTACGCTTGGTTCTACAGCTGCGCCGGGTCCGCTGCCGACGGCACCAGTGACAGATTTTGGCGCTGCGTTTGCGGCTTCGAGGCCGCTGTTGGTGGCCCCGTGTGTTGCGGAACCGGCGGTGGTGGAAGGGTTGCTGGTAGATGTTGGCTTAGAGGTGGACGAGATTCCAGAGGTGGAGGTGGCAGGGTTGGGATCAACAAGTGATTGAATGTTAGAGCCCTGTGCAGGTGCCCCAGATTGGTGGTGAGGGGTGTGGGTGGTGGTTGAGTCACGGGAAAGACTAGAGTCGGGATTGTTGTTACCACTAGTGTTATCGCTGAAAGCCCCCGGCATGTAGGACGAGTGGTCAGTCGTCGAGGACTGCGAGAAGTCTCTGTTGGTCGGTGTGTGGTGCTCGTGAGATACACCCAATCCTCCTAGAACGCCAGCCCCAGTCCCAGTGCTGGTGCTGGTATGCGGGGTGTTTGTGTCTTCCGAGAAACGACTTGTGACGGGTTTGTTGTGATCTGAAGAGAACGCGTTGCTATGATCATTGATACTGCTGATGGTAGGGTTACTAGAGTGAACCCCGACCCTCTGCTTGTCCAGGTCGCTGATTTCGTGCCGCGCACCATCCTTGTTAAGGTCACCAATTGATGTCTTCCGGAAGGTGCTGGTGGTGGTCGTGGGCTTGTCAAAGCTACTAGCCGGGTTGTTTCCGTAGTTGCTTGAGTGCTCTGCGAACACACCGGCAGTGGATGGCTGATCGAAATCATTTCCTGAGGGTTGGTCGTAGGTTCTCGCACTTGATTTCTCAAGAGACCCAACGCCAGAGTCATATGGCTTATTTAGTACTTCATGGCCGCCACTGCCGGAGGTGGCGGTGTGTTGTGAGCCGAACCCGGAAGTGTTTGTGGAGTCGAATGGCTTTGTTGTGGGGCCTGTTGCGGAGCGGAATGGGTTGTTGCTGTCAGTGTCGGTTCCACTTTGACGGAAGGGATTTGTCTCTGAGGCGGAGGGACGGTCGTAGTCGCTCGTGTCCGTGGTCACTGCGTTGGGGTTTCGGTTCTGGGTTTGGTTGGGATTTTGAGAATTGGGGTTTGTGTTTTCGCCGAAGAGGGCCTTGCTGGCAGCATTGGCGGCGTTGTAGACTGTTTCCATGGTTGCTTATTTTATATTTTTATATCTTACCTTTAGTCGATTGATTGTAGTGTGTAGTAGTGTGGTGATGGTGGTAATATTGCTTTGAAGATGCTGAAGTAAATCATGAGAATCGGGCTCACAGAGTTGGTATATATAATCCCACCATCACCGGGGGGGAGCCACGGCTACGTAACAGTCGCCGGTTGCTTGATTTTCTGATCATTTTTTGTCGGTATAACAGCATGTGCAATTAGGAGGGTGGATAACCAAGATCAAGGCCGGGAACCAAAATATGGGGGCGGCTTTCACATCAAAGCAGGTAATCTATGACCTCAATCGAGCAACTCTCTGGTCTCTCTTGCCTCGGAGACGAATCAATCAAGGTTTCTCAGGCCATTAATTGGCTGCAATTAGTTGAAAGGTTCCTCTGGAAATAGATAAACACCCATGTGCATATGCACCTTATTCCGGCCATTCTAGTTGGTGATTACTTATCAATCTATCAATTGAAAGAAACCCCAGAATGCATGACAGCTACTCTAAACAAGCTTTCTTTCTCGAGGCAGAGTGTTCTACCTCTAACCTTAGGAATCGCTAGGTCGAAGCTCTTGTTTATTATTGTGTGGGAGAAGATCAGCGTGAGGTCAGTGATGACGGGGGCTGACGTCATGACTAGGATACGGGTATTGCGGCTGAGGTGACCCTCCGCTATTTTACTTCCCTAGCCCTGATCGCGCTCCAGGGTCATGATTCGTCAGGGCCTGCGATGCACGAAGCCGGGCTTCGAGAGTGTTCTGTTGCACAGTGGCGGTCTAATGTGCGACACGGAATATCACTCGTGTTTGTTTACCATCAAATAGAACAGATCCCCCGTCATACCTAGGATATCTACCTTGATCCTCGGATTTTCCAGGGGCGGTATAAAGCCGTTTAGCATCCCAGTTCTCCGAAGGAAGCGAAGCGAGAGTGGTAGAATAATAAATAGGTATTTGATTCCATGATAATGGCCATCAACTTAACTTGGTGGCTTGAACAGGACGAGACGTTCGCTGGGTACCAACGTCACACCTGAGGGCCTCGAGAGTGTTCAGAGAAGTTATCAGGGTAATTACCGAGCCTTTTAAACATCATGTCTTTCGTTTTATGCACTAATCCACTATGCATATGCACCTAGTAAACACATAATCAGCCAAGTCCTAATTTAAGCTCTCCCGGTGATACATGTCATATCTCTAGGGTTAACTACTGCACCAACACTTTTCCAGGATATTTAAGAGAAACTCACCACAAGCCTTAGGATAATGTTTCATCAGCTTAGTTTCGTTTTTTTCAGATGTCGGGACGTGTATCAGGACTGAGACCGAGACCGAGGAGTCTTGTCTCATGCATACCTATCAACTGTATTGGTAGCAGCAAATTCAGATGAAAGGTATACCCGGAGAGCTCAAGAGTGAATGTTAAATACATAGCGTAGGAGATTGATAAACAGATTAAGCTGAGGAAGTTGATAATAATCATGTGGGAAGAGATGAATTCAATGAAGTCGGATGAATGGTAATGTGAGAAGGTTAATGTTTATGAGGTGGCTTAAATTGTCTTGGCAGTCCGATTCGACAACCTACCTAAAATACCACGAGAATTTCATGCTCCACAGAAAATCTATCCTCAACCACACAACGCAATTGATAAAAGATCTAACACGTAGAAAAGCTAAAGCTAGTGATTACCTATCAATTGTCTGTCTCTATTTATTTTAATCATTTTTTTGTTGAGTGAGATAGCTTTTCAGAGCTGGTAGGGACCAGAATGGCCGATCCCAAAATGCAGTAGAATTCCAAAGTTAAGTTAGGCGAGAATAGGTCTAAATACATGTAGGTGTGAAAAGGGAGAAATCAAGGGTTAGGGTTGACCCTTGAATGGCCGCAAAGGTATATTAACGTCGACCGGCGCCATACTACTCTACACGGCGACATTTTTGACCTTCGCCGCATCGATCTATCTTTCATAACCAAATGATCTCATTCAATAAAGAGTTTGAATAAATACTCTTCTAGACCTCCATATCAATCAGCGGACACACTCACGAGTTCTCAGGCACGCTAGCAATAGGCATGAGTGTTGCAGTTATGGAAACACAGTGCATGCGGTGATCTACAAACTGCTCAAGTTTATTCGCGTCCGCTACCACCTCATCGATTCTGAGTTCGATGTGGATTTGATACATTACACGTACCCTCTTCGCCGTAATTGGGTTGACTAAATTGCTATTTCTAAAGAAGGTATAAAAAGCAAGCCTCTCCTCGATTGGGTTTCTCTCCACATAACTTGTTCCTAGCTTGCTGTGGCCATTTAAAAGTGCCATGACATGCACTTAGTTTACTCCCTCATGACTACACAAGGACCATCATTTCTAGCCGTCAAAACCTTAACTGACCCAAGATAGTCCGTTGCTGGTCTCCCCAGTCAGAAGCAACCCGATGAATCGCTCCCTTCTCAAAGATTATATCCTCGTTTTGGTCTTACAAGCGCCGGCCGTAAATCCTCCAAAATGAACATCCTCATAGCCGCGGCCCACGTGGCCGTCGGAATGACCAAACGAGCTACATGATTGGTGGAAATTCATTGCTCTTACGGGACCATTATATCTGCCAATATTAGGATTCCAAATTGAAGGCTAGATATAATAGCATGGGTGTTGGAATATCTATTTTGCTTGAGAACGCTGGAGATAGAGCATTCAATGGTAGACGCAATCCTGGGGGTATGGTTAAACCGGGTTTATGACTAATTTCATCTAAATTCAAGAATGAATACAGGAGAATCCCTGAGAATATACTATATCCTTTGCAAGAATATGGAGAACCGTTTTTAATTGTCAGGAGCCGCCAAGAGTGCTGTTTTACTGGAAGCCCTTTTCGATTTTGTGAGGAGTTGGTCGTACCCCCAGTTTAACCATACCCCAGGATTGCGACTACCTAATCTTTGAATGGGCTTCTATCAGTTCTTGGGGCCATGGGTCTTAGAAGCAATTAACAAAAACAACAACAATGAATGAAAGGTGTACCGAGTGATATTTCATGATTACACACACGCCATCACATGGAGCATGCACGTGACAGCATAACTAAACAACTGCAGGCCTAAACCAAGGCTTCGGATAATTCTTATGGCAAAAACTTTAAAACGGGGGGCTTTCTTTCCCTATCACATTGCAAATCGTATTAGGGGCCTTTTACCCTTGCTTACTGTATCTGTATCCACTTGCTTCTGTGTTTCTAGAAATCTTATCTGCCAATCACCCACAAGAGCCGCGAGGCGGATCTTAAACCCCCCACACACTCAGTCAAAAACTAAGCCCAATCCGAGGCAACAATAGACTCGAGTGCGGCGGCGATTGGCTGTCGATGTTTTTCCCCCTTGCAGCCAGCGCAGAAAGAAAAAAAAAAGAAAAGAAAAACTGCAAAGAAAAAAAAAATTAATAACCGTGGCCTCTCCCTCCCATACATGTTGTGGCGGCTGCTCTCTTTCTTGTTTATACTTGTACTTATACTCGGCCCCAATACCTGCGCGACAGACTGACAACAAGTCACTCGAGCTCCAAACACAGGTTTCTTGTTGGAATCAAGGTACATCCTTCTATCTTCTTCTTCTTACTTACAAGAGCTAGGTAGCTAACAAGCTATTCAATACAGGATTTAGGAACAAAGGCAAAGCTTAGTTTTTCGCAAGGCAGCCCTTTCTGTTTCCCCCCCCTTATCAACACAAAAATTTTTTTTTTTGTTTACAAAATTAGCACATTTTTGTGTTCGTTCTAGCTTCGATTCCTGCGCATCAAGGGTTTGTCTGCCTGTTATTATTTTTTTTCTCTCCTTCAAGCTTTCTAGCTGTTCTAACGATCGCAGTCAATTCACCAACCCCCCCCCCCCCCCCCCCGCGAAAATCCTCAACCTCGGGTGGCGCTAGTATTGCAACAACGATGGAGAAACTCAGTCCCGAACTCGTCCGCGAGATCATCTGCCACTTTGACTCCAAAGCCGACCTCGCCAACTTCCGCCTCGTCCAGCGCTCCCTCGCCCAGCTCTCTACCGAGTTCCTCTTCCGCACTGTACCCCTAAAACCCACCAAGCTCAGCGTCTCCCGCCTCGTCGCGATCGCCCAGAGGCCCGACCTCGCCCGCCATGTCAAGAACCTGATCTACGGTATCGAGGAGCCAAACTACATGATCTGGGAAGAGTTCAACGCGCAGCTCCGCCTTGCGAACACCTCGCACTCCGAATCAGCGGACTCCCGCGCCCACGAGATCTTCAACGCAGCCATCAACGGCTGGTACGACTTCCAGACGTCGCCCGACCACACACAGATGCTTGCCACCGCCTTCGCCGGCCTGCCCCGCCTGTCGGCAATCCAGATGGTCCACGGTGCGCCCATGGCCCGCGAGCGCCAATACACGTACCGCGAAATCGACTACTACGAATTCGAGATGCGCGACAAGTTCCACGGCGAGCACGGCCTCGAGAGGGACTATCTCCGCGGCTTCACCGCCCTGATTGACGCAGCGTATAAAGGCGGCACGCGCCTCACGTCGTTCAAGATGACGGGAATGAACACGGAGGAGATTGTGCACGAGGCGGTGTTTGCGGATGCGGAGCTGCTGGCGCGCGCGGCGGTGGTGCTGAAGGGGTGCCGCGTGATGGAGCTGCATCTGGGCATCGACTCGCAGGAGGCGGTCGAGAACGCCAAGAGCACCCCGCTGCTTAATGTGTTGGCGCCGGCGGAGCAGCTCGAGGAGCTGTGCTTGGGCTTTGGGAACACGGTGCCTGCGGACGCGTTCCTGTTTCCGCATATCTTTGGCGAGGAGCAGGTGTGGCCGGCGCTGCGCAAGGTGGAGCTGTGGACCGTCGAGATGCATGAGCATGAGCTGATCTCGTTCTTGGAGCGCCACAAGGAGACGCTGAGGACCGTGCTGATTAGTAGTGGGCTGTTGTTCACCGGGTGCTGGAATAATGTGATGAGGTTTATGAAAGAGCATTTGAAGCTGGAGTCGCTCGAGGTGTGGGATCTGTTTTATAAGCATGGCGAGAGCGGAGATTATAGGAGCTATAGCCATGCGGAGGCGCAGATGATGGTCAAGTATGTCAGGGGCGGGGGAAAATGTCTGCCGGACCAGCCGGCGGCAGAGGAAGAGGAGGAGGAGGCGGCGAGTGTATGATTATCGCATAGAAGGGGGGGGTTAGATTCGTAGAACGGTTTCTTTTTAGAACGGCTTTTTTATATCCTAGACTAGATCAGCGGTTTTAGATTTTAGATTTTCTCGTTTTTTTTCTTTCTTTTCTTTCTTTTTGTTTCGTGTCTGTTTTTAGAGCGGGCTGGTCTGAAAAACGAGCGAGCGATAGAGAATAGATGTTTTCTTTTGTTGGTTTCTTTCTTTACCTACATGTAGATGTAACTAGATAGATACATATATATCGAGAAGCCATTTAGACGCAAGCCATTCGCGAATACATGTACCCACTACTTGTATGTATCTCTGCCCCTTCTATGTAACCCATGGACAAATATCTCCCCACGAATATCGATATATCTCCATCCCTCCGCGTACGTCGTGACAAGCTTTCGGGACAGAGTAAGCTTAAACTAATAATGTTTAGGCCTCAACACTAGAATTTGAGAAGAGGTATGCGTAGTGTATAACGTAAGGAGGACAGATATGGCGGAGTGGAGTAGATATTCCCAGGGTTCAAGTCTCTCTCTGCCCCTCACTACCACTACATGTTCCTCTCGAACTCTTACGCAGAACTCTGAACTACTACGCTGTCCGTGGATACATATATATACATGATGGCAGCATCTACATGCCACATACTCGCACAGTACCGTACCTGGGATGACTACTGCTGGTGATGACGGCCGATGGACAGGAAAAGAAAAGACCAATAGCTAAGTCTTCACCGAGCGCCTGGTTAATCGGACTCGGGGCCAAGCTATCAAGGCAGGGTCTGGCTATACACAGCTCGAGCTAGGCTTCGATGTTTCCAACCCGGTGCAAACAAGAGTCTACTGCACTCTTTCCGGTCAAGCTGGTGTATATATTGCACATGTACGTGCCCTCACATTATAATTATCGATTGACGGCCCTCACTGAATTAAACGAGGCTCCCGTTCCACTCTGGTTCTAGTGCACCACCCCGCACACATCATAATATGCGGGGACGATAACGATAACGATAACGCGTCGCACCGCTAGTCTTCTCTCAGCTGCTGAGATCAGGCCACCGTACCGTTCCTCTTTGGGATAGGGAGTTTGCAATAACAACAACCCGGTTGGGACGAATTAGTAGGGACGGATGGATGGCCGAGTGATACCTCGTGCTGGAATAACAACAAGAATAACAAGAAGAATAAGATAAAGAAGGTTACTCGATCGATCGTCCCTGTTTATTATTATAAACCACTACACTCCATACGCTAAACTGCTGAAAATACTATAGAGTATACATACATAGCCCCGCTACTATACTCCTCTACTGCGTCATATACTACATACTTCCACACGCCATATATATCGACCACTACATAATAAATGCGAGAAGGAAAGAAGAAAACAAAGAAACGTCACAAACACATCATATCTCATCCTCATGCGCACATGCACCCACCATTACCCAGACACAGCTACATATCTACATGTGCTATCTACACTTACACTAAACCTTCCCACCCGTTACCTGCACGCTCACCTCCCACCTAACCCGTCCAGGCCCCGCGCCGCCGCTGCCGCCGCCCAACTTATCCCTCACAAGCCTACCGACTCTCTCCCTCAGCCCCTTCTCGCCGACCTCTCCAACCGCGTTCGCCGCAATACCAACCTTCAAACACGCCATACACAGCCCATGATGGACCTGCCAGAAGCGCGCGTCCACCACGCCCGTGACGGCCTCATCCTCCTCGATCGCGCGCACGACATCCGCAACCCCTGCACCGCCATAGCTCATCAGCAGCATGCCTCCAAGCACCTTGACCAACCGCACGCCAATAGCAATCATTGACAGCGCCATTCCGAGCGCCATCCCCCGGTCCAGCAACGACGAGAAGCCCACAGACGTCAGCGGGATAAGCAGCAGTGTGAACGACGCCACAACCGTCAGCAGGTGTGAGGGATTCGACTGCAGCACAGCACGGCCAATACGCGCATGGTTCTTTAGTAGGAAGCCCGACACGAGGGAGCTCGCGAGCGCGGCGAGGGCAGCGAGGTCCACGGACCCCGGCGAGACGCGGACAGAGTGCATGTGTGATTCGTGGGAGGTCTCGGTAGTGTAGAGGCCCTCGACAAGGTGCTCGGCAGTGTGCGAGATAATGTCGAAGCCCATAAAGAGCAGGAGCACGGCCATTGCGAAGCCGGCGAGCACCTCGGCGCGCTCAAGGCCGAAGGGGTGGCGGATGCTGCTACGCCCCCACACTTCGAAGTTTGAGAGCACGTCGACGACGACGCAGACGGAGGCGCTGAGGGCGTCGAAGACGAGGAGGTGGGAGAGTGCTGTGACGGCGAGGGAGCCGGCGGCGGAGTAGAGCGTTAAGATGGCAACGGCAAGGTGGCAGATGCACCATAGGACGCGGGTGCGCTGGTTGGTGGTTATGGAGCGGAAGAGCTCGGCTCGTGTTGGGATTGGGAGGGAGGCGGGCAGCACGAGGGGCGCACGCGGCGGCGGCTCGAGGAAGATCTGGTGCGAGATGGAGGAGTGCTTGTATCTATGCCCACGACGTTGATTCTACAATGTTTGTCAGAAACGTTCACAATTTAAGGAGGCTAACAACCCTATCCCCCCCCAGGGTTCAGGGGGAACACCCACCGGCTTCCCAACAGGCGGGCTCTTCGCAGCCACCATGGGCTGGAAGTTGAACGGGCCGCCGCGCTTGTTTAGCGATGCCGACGGTGGCGTGGACCGCGGCTGCTCGGGCGTCGAGGAGAGACTGTAGTTGGGCGGGAAGATGTCCTCTGTGGGCGGCGAGAGGGCCGCGGCGTCGAAGGTCGAGGACTCGGGCGTCGGGAGGCCCTCGATCCCGAGGCCTGCGGTGGTGCTGCTGCCGCGGCGGAGAGAGAAGCTGTGGTGGCGCGAGAAGCTGGCATCGGTGTCGGGCGTGGGAGGCGCAATGATGGGCGTGGGGGGGATGGAGGACGCCATGGTGGTGGCGAGGGGGGGGGGAGGTATTTGTCTGTCTGTATAGGGGGGGGAGGAGGGGAGGCGTGTAGAGGGTCGTGATATCGGGGAATGGAGGGGGGGGGGGGCGTGTATGTTATAGAGAGGTGTAGGTAGAGATAAGTATCTTCTGTCTGTCTGTGCTACCCCTGCCTGCTTGTCGGTGTCAGGTTCAGGGTCAGGGTCAGGGGGCCGAAGGGGAAATGTTTATCTCTCCGGCTTTTTTCTTTGTGTCACCCCCAAGCCATCCGTTCATGCAGCCCAGCATCGCCCAGGCCCAATGGGGAATAACCCAGGCACATGCAGCGACGATGACATAAGGCGCCCGCCTATTCGCTCGCGGCAGCAACCTCTGCTGTTTTCTGCGGGAGAGCGGTGAGGTGGTGGATTGGTTGGTTGGTGGATGGACTGGACTGGACGGGTCACGTGATAGTGGACCAGTGTAGTGTGGTGGAGTCATAGGATGTCACTCGGTGGCAGTGCGGAGATGGAGGTGGAGGTGGTGAGGGAGGTGGGTGAGGTGTGGTGTGGTGTGGTGCATGGATGGACGAGTGCGTAGTCGTGATGGGAGTGGAAGGAGGTGTTGATGGATGGGATGGATGAATGGATGGATTGTTTGTAGAATGGTTGATGGGGTGACGTTGGCACAGCCAATCAGAGGCGGGTGGTACAGAGGCGCCGCTTTGGTGTGTGGTGGGTGGTGGTTGGGGTGGGTTAGGGTAGGGTGGTTGTGGGGTAAGTCTGTCAACAGGTGGCGGTGCATTGGCTGAGGATTTTTGAATATTTGCTTGTGTCAGCGCCACCTGTTGACAGACTTGCCCCTACCCCCGAAGTACATCAGTGGCAGCTGTAGCTGTGCGATGATAAGTGCGCGGGGAAGGGATTTTTTTTGGTAAGTTTTTATTAAGGGCCCTCTCCTTAGATCTGCACAAGTGGCTAAGGGATCTCTGGCTAAGGAACCTCTCTGGCTAAGGAACCTCTCTGGCTACATGGTCCCTTAACAACCCTTTCCCTATGACTGCTAGTGACCGTCTTGGCGATTCGAGCCGTAACCAAGCAAGCAAGCAACAAACTTCTACACGCCCCGCTACCTGGACTTTGGGTTGGAAGTAACTGCCACGCTAACACCACCAACAAGCCAGCAGAGAAAATGACCCCAGCTCCAGCGGGTCTCGTCTCTTCTATTAGAGTTGGGGCAGGGAAGACTTCTAGTTCTCCGGCCAGAACCAATCCACGGAGATAAAAAAGTTACGCCAGGGACCAAAATGTGGATTAGTCATTTCATGGGGTATCACTCGGGCTCCAACGTCACATCATCACACCAACTTAAGAGCTTCTCTCTGGAACTGACCCTAAGACTCTAAGGGTCTATACTTAAAAGCTAACTACACGTAACTGTTATTAAGGACTTTTATAATTATGGCTGCGGCGCCAGAGCTAGGGTTTAGATAGATGGGTTAGCTCTAGATTAGTCATCAGATTCATGGGGGGTCACTCGTGGTTTGTGATACGCTATTGGTATATATGCGGGTCTAAGCCGTTCGCTGGCCTTGCAATGTATGGCTCGACTGAGACGACGGGTAATATCTACTGCCAATATGGGATGGGGAAAGCTATGGCCTTGACTGTGCGGGGAAAGATGTGGTGGGTCGATTGGCTGCGGTGGGGTTATTATTATTGGGGCTTATGATACTGGAACTTTCTCTACTCTAACTAGGGTTTGTTATTACTGGAGCTTATTTTACTGGGGCTTTTATGATATCGACGGACCAAGAGCGGGGCCGTTTTAATATTCCTGGACCGGACTGGACTGGACTGGGCTGGGTCCGGAAATTTATTGGTGACCTTTGGGAGAGCTGGACCGGGGTAAGCCTGCCATTACGGGAAAACTTATCACTTTATTTATTCTGGGAATATATGGAGCACATCCCCGATAGAGACTCTGTGTTGTAAGGGAAAAGGGAGTGTTGACGAGGCTCCTATCCTGCTGCACCGGACAGCTAGCTGGCCCGTGGTAACAAACTGTTGTTCAGTGAAACACGTTTGTCACTCAATTATTATAACAGCCCCAAGCGGGCGGTTATTATTGGTTTCGCAGTTAATCGACAGGGCCTGCTGTTTAGGGGAAGAGGTACTGCTCGGTAGCGCTGTGTTTCTGGCTATCACAGGCGGCCGTATTTACCACCGGGTGAAGAAATCTTACGAGTTTATAGCAGGCCAACCATTGTGTCTGTGGTGGTTTGGCCGTGTTGATACCTGGCCTTGCTAGAGTTATCAGAAACCCCCAACTAGTACCCAGGGATATTTTCTCCTTTGGGTTTTGGATATGGAATATTTCGATAGATTGGCCTGCGATTGCCATAAATGTGGCTATCATCAATCTTTAGTGGATTGTGGAGAGAGCACTCATATTTCAAAGGCACTTGAGATCTGCCGTATTGAGTACTCCTCAGTTGTGGTCTAGGCGAACGAGAGTCTGACAAGGAAGGTTACGCCGGTTACAAGGATATTAATTTCGCGGCGCACGGGTTGTATGAAGAATTTCTTTTTTTTTTTTTTGGTTTGGAAAAATAATCCCGATCAATTTGGCCTCCAATTACCATAAATGTGGCTACCACAGTCTATTTTTTACCAGATACCGGTCTTTGGCGGATTGTAGAGACCTTGGCTAGAAAGCAACAATAGTACAGGAGCAGTCAAACTCTGCCGTCTCGAATACTCCTCGGTTGAGGTCTATATGGACAAATTCAAGAAGAAAAGAGCATAGTGATGAAGGCCACTAAAAGCCGCCTAGATGGCCCTACGCAGCTAGACTTGCTAACTAACTAGCGCTGTTTCAATTCTTTGAACCTATATTTAGGATATACTTCTAGCACCATGCTTGATTACACACATATACATACCCCAAAATAGGCACTCTATCTTCCAGAACAAACTGGCATATATGAAACATGCATTACATCCCTAGACGCGCTAAAAGGGGGGTAAATCCCATACCCAACCCACAGGATCACCGTATAGCTTTGCGAATACAGGTTTAAATTCACATAGTTTAAGTGCCGCACCGTTTGAGAACCAGAATTCTTCCGACAATGGCGGATTTTTGGGGACTGCCGCATTAGAAACTGTGCGGTAGCAGTAATACCACATGACAGAAGGGGCGAAGGTTGAGCAGTGCAGCGGCATTCAAAACTACCTGTATGCCGTAATTAATGCTGCTGCAGCAACATTCGCAGCCCGTGCGGCAGCCGCGTAGGATTTGTAACAATGCTTTAGTGAGAGCAACTACCACTTGACTACGGCAGCACTATCGCAGCAACATTTGTCACCTATACGGCAGTCATGAGAATGCTCAAGCGAGAATAATACCACGCGACTAGTACCGCAGCACTACGCAACCTCCCCCCAAAAACGCGGCAGTGTGCTAGTACGACATCTATACAAATCTTTAGTACTGCAATAATAATAGCCGTTATCTGCCGCGCTAAATACCTCAGGAATAGCGAAGCTTAGCGCTCTACCTAGAAGAAATTCTGCGAGTGATATTTCATGACTAACATTACAACTGGGACATCACCAATAGGACCTGGTGTATTTATCAGAGGAAGATGCATATATCTCATAAAGTTCCTGTCTTCCCGGAAACCGCGGTCAATGTATCAATTGCGAGGGAGGACAACTCTAACGGCGGCATGGACCACGAGAGAGTGGAAATTGGCCCACCATGCTTCGCCGAATCCTAGAAGACTACAGATATGCCATAACATCTAGCAACATCCATCCGCGGGGCATTTCGTTGATATCGAAATCATTGCAGAACTTGAGTTCAAAAGTCGAATCAAACCAAGAAAGAAAAAAGGAAGGAAAAACACTACCAAAAACACGAGCGAAAATTGCTCTGAGTGATAATTCATGACTAACCGCGATGATTCTACCTACATATGGGGGGGGGGGGTGGTGGGGTGTTTAGTTTAGCTAGTTTATTCCGATATGGGTATTGCCGCCCCGCTACCACGCTTAAGTATTCGGTTTCTCCTGTAATGCGTTTATCACCAGAGGGAGGGATCCATCGTGTGTCCGTTCCTGAAGACACAACGCCACGACTAGTTACATGTATGTAGCAACATCCGCGAGTTTACTCCATAGCTAGCATTGAACTCCAACCAAAAGAAAAAAAGTACGAACGCGATGCAAGAACAGAAAACAAAACACAAATAAATAAAAACAACATGACAAAAAAACATGAGCAAAAAAGTCGCCGAGTGATAGACTGGATGCTTTATAAAGGCTTCAAAACATCCGGCCGTTGGATTGGTTAAGTAATACGTTCAATCCAATCGAGTATGTACTTCGTGTTAATGCACTAGCTAGCTGGATGCTATAAACCTCTGGTAAGGGCCCTATTACACTAGAACTACTACTCCCTAGCATATGTCTGTTTCTAGAAGACTCTGCAAGTATAACACAACACCACATTCCGGCAGCTGGAACATTCACCGATGACGAGAATATATATCGAAGCAATACGGGCCGCAAAACCACGAATCAACGAAAAGAAAGGAAAAAAAACATCATAAACGCATGAACCGCGTGACGCGTGACGCGGGCGATGCATGGAGTATACCGCACCGTACCGAGTGATAGGTTGTGATGCATGATTACTAACCGACGCCACAGTTATGGTGTGCGGGAGAGAAGTTGGTTTTGGTACGTATACTATCATTGGACATAATAAGTTCGGTAGTACTAACTAGTGCTGGTTTGTCGTTTATATAAGGTTTCTCTGGGCCGCCGCCCCAATGTAAGGGATCTGTAGTATATATTAATTGCAGGAGCTGTATTTATGTAGGGTAACGTTACACGGTATACAACAACAACAGTCGTTGGATTTAAACCCAGAAGGCGCGGCAGTGGTGGCCGGTAAGTAGAGTAGATCTGCCACGTGGCGGCTTGATAGGGGCCTGTCGATACATACTTGCAATTGACACTGTGCAGATCGCTCAGCCTGTAGAGATGATAGTCCAATGGCAGGTAAGGTCGCTGCGAGTGATATTCCATGACTGGTACCAGACTCGGCTAGATGATAGATAAGTATCCTACGAAAGAGCTAGTGTTTAGATGGAAGCTTTTCATCTGATTTGTCAATTGATGGTTGGGAGATAATTGTGTGTGGTTGAACCGCATCTACGATGTTGTGCGGCGGGCTTATCAGATTGTTTCAGAACATGGGATCGATGTGGTAGGGGATATACGCGCGAGTGATTGTCCGTGACTGGATCTCATCTCGAACAAGGGTGTGTGCGTACCTACTCTACTGAATGCGGTTGTCGAATCACCTGTTAGTCAGCAAAGCAACGCAACGCAGCAGGCAGCAGAAGGGGGAGACTCGCTAATTGGTCATTGGGCGGCGCGGGCTTACCGATATCGTTTGTAGACAAATAAATTGGCCCTATGAGATGTCGTCTCTGTTATTACTCTACTCTAGGTAAACTCGGTACCCAGAGTACTGCAGATCAGTAGGGTGTTATCACTTATGCAACAGACAGGGATCAACTTATCGGGCGCACACACCCGCACGCACACACGAATGGGAAAAAAGCTCTTTAACGTCTTGGCGTGATTGATTTTTCGGACGCGTTTGTCTCTGTCTGAGACTGTCTCTGCAACGTCGTCGTCGCTGCCCTGCCCTGCCCCCCCCCGCCCGAGAGAACTGAAGAGAGATATCTACAAACAAACAAATTGACCTCCCACAGCGTTTTTCAGTACAAAACCGTAGTTTATTCCCCCCCCCTCCCCAACTCTCTCCCCCCTGGTTGGTGTGCTCTCTCTCTCTCTCTCTCGTGAATGGGTGGTTGGTCGTACCGGAAAGTATCGTTGATCTTTCCCCTTCCACCGCAGCACTTGCAACAACAACAACCCCTACTGCTGCTGCAGCTGCACAACAAGCACACGTACAGGCACCTCCACGTCTCACACACACGTCCTCTCCTTCTCCGTGGCTGGCCGTCTTCGCGTCGACGACTGCTACAATCACCATCACCACAATCATCACCACAATCATCACCACAATCATCACCATCACCATCACCATCACCATCACCATCACCATCATCACTGTCATCACGGCCATCATCATCCACGGACACTGCTACTGCTGCTGCTACACAACTCCTCTTCTCCTCCCATCTCCACTCTGCCACAACACCCACACCCACACTCACAACCATCACAGACATCACCAGCATCACAAACATCACCTCTACATCTACCACTACCACACCCACAGCAATCACAATCTCTGCTGCACCCACCCAGGGCCCATCACCACCACCACCACCACCATTCCCCCCCCCAATCCCCTTCCTCACAACCATGTTCACCCCCAGAGGCCCACCGCCAAAACCTACGCCCCCATCCCCACCGAAAAACACCCAATCCTCCCTCGCCTACGCGTTCTCCAAAGTCCCGCAAACCTCCAAAGCCCCCAGCACCACCCGCCGCCACGCCCCCCCACCCACCTCACGAGCCACCGCCTCCCATGGCCCCTCCCTCACCACCGTCCTGCAAAAGACCGCCGCCGCCACAAACGTTGTCCGCCCCAAGCCTCGGGAACGGGAACGGGTCATCAAGGCCTTCGAATGCGCCTCCTCCTTCGACGACGGCCCTCCCCCCCCCTCCTCCTCCTCCGCCACCAACAACAACACATCCCCAAAGATCAAGTCCCAGCTAACAGCACTGCACGAGGCCGTCTTCTTCGACGAGGGCGATTTCGATGACGACCAGGACCTCAATTTCGATGACACCATCGTCTTCGCTGACGAAGCCGACGCCGAGGAGACCCCCGCTGCATACTCGGCCTCGCCGGCAAGCTTTGGCGTCCCCACGCCGCCACCGCCGAAGAGTTTCTTGCCGCCGAGTTTGACACGGAGGAGGAGCCCCCCCACGCCGATCAAGAGGGAGTATAGCAGCATTGATGAGGAGGAGGACGTGGTGATCAAGATCGAGTCGTCGCAGCCGCAGCTGCCGGGTAGCTCAGTGCCATTTCCGTGGTCTTCGTCGCCCGTGGAGCATTTTGCTCCGCCGGTGCCGATGCCGGTGACGCAGCAGCCGGCGAGGGGGCAGAGGCAGCAGCAACCGGTGCCGCCGCCGCCGCAGACAATGGCAACGACGACGACGACGACGAAAACGACGGCGTCGAGGCAGATGGAGGTGATTGATTTGATGGAGAACGATGAGCCGGAGGTGCCGAAGAAGAAGCGGAAGATCCCGTGGGCCAAGGACGGGGATGCGGCGGTTGCGGCGGTTGCCGCGCCTCCATCACGTACAGGCAGGACACGGGCCGAACGGACCCCGGTGCGGCACGAGGCGCCGAAGCTGCCGTGGGAGATGACGGCGAGCGACTTTAAGCGGGCGTCGCGGAAGGGTGTGGAGCAGCAGCAGCGGCGAGGGCTGAGTACGCGGGCTGCAAAGGAGGAGGCGGCGGCGGCGCTAGGCGGGGGGGGGAAGAAGGAGATGCGGCAGAAGAAGCTGACGCTGAGTACCGAGCAGATGCATGTGCTGGACTTGGTGCTTGAGTCGGGGAAGAGTGTGTTTTTTACGGGATCTGCGGGTTTGTTGCCACTTTTTTTTCGCTTTGCTAACGCTTTCGGTGGTGCCCTTGCAATACAATCAAGAAGAAAAGAAGAAAAAAGAAAATATTAAAAACACAAAATCCGTGGCTTTTTCTTGTTCTGTTTCTGCAAAAAAAGAAAAAAAGAAAGACCAATTTCACTAATTGGACTTCTGCCCCTAGGTACCGGCAAATCCGTTCTAATGCGCGAAGTCATCACCGCCCTCCGGCGCAAATACACCGAACACGACCACGTCGCTGTCACCGCATCCACCGGCCTCGCCGCCTGCAACGTCGGTGGCGTGACGCTGCACTCCTTCGCCGGCATCGGGCTCGGCAAGGAGCCCGTGCCCGACCTCGTCAAGAAGATCAAGCGCAACGCCAAAGCCAGGACACGCTGGCTGCGCACCAAGGTTCTCGTCATCGACGAGATCTCTATGGTCGACGGCGACCTGTTTGACAAGCTCGAGGCCATCGCACGCATAATCCGTAACAATGGCCGCGCCTTTGGCGACATCCAGTTGGTGGTTACGGGCGACTTTTTTCAGCTCCCGCCCGTGCCGGATTATGGCAAGGTGGCGAGATTTGCGTTTGATGCGAATACGTGGTGTACGGCGATTGAGCATACCATTGGCTTGACGCAGGTCTTTAGGCAGCGGGATCCTGGTAAGTCACGTGATTTGAGTACCGAGTGATGTCTCATGTCTGGATAGTGATGTCTCATGTCTCACTCTTGGCGGGCGAGTGATGGGCTGTGACGCACAGTATACTGATGTGGGGACCAATTAGAATTCGCCGCCATCTTGAACGAAATGCGCCTGGGGAGACTGTCCGCCGCCTCGATCGCCGTGTTCCGCCGCCTCTCCCGCCCGCTCAAATATGACGACGGCATCCAGGCCACCGAGCTCTTCCCCACGCGGCAAGAAGTCGACGCCGCAAACAACAGCAAGATGCGCCAGCTCTCCGGCAGCGAGCGCAAATTCACCGCCACCGATGGCGGCAGCATCAGGGACGTTGATCACCGCACCAAGCTGCTGTCCACCTGCATGGCGCCCCAGGTCATCTGCCTCAAGGAGAACTCGCAGGTCATGCTCATCAAGAACATCGACGACACCCTCGTCAACGGCTCTCTCGGCCGCGTCGTCGGCTTCATGTCGGAGAAGACATTCGACATGGCACACGACGACCCGGACTCCCTCACCCTCGAGACCCGCGCCAGCCACAACTCCATCACCAAGATCCTCAGCACCGACGACGCCGCCACCGACAACTGGCCACTCGTTGAATTCGCGCTCCCCGACGGGACCTCCCGACAACTCCTCGTGCAGCCGGAGACATGGAAAGTCGAGCTTCCGTCCGGCGAGGTGCAAGCGAGCAGGACACAGGTGCCGCTGATCCTGGCGTGGGCGCTGTCGATCCACAAGGCGCAGGGGCAGACGCTGGAGCGCGTCAAGGTGGACCTGGGACGGGTGTTTGAGAAGGGGCAGGCGTATGTTGCGCTGTCGCGCGCGACGTGTCAGGAGGGGTTGGAGGTGCTGAGGTTCGATGCGGCGAAGGTCATGGCGCATGAGAAGGTGAGGGAGTTTTATAAGAGCTTGTATTCGGCGGCGGAGGCGAAGGCGCGGAGGGCGGATGTGGGGAGGAGGAAGGTGCTGGAGGAGGAGGGGGGGGATGTGGATGGGGAGGAGGCGATGAGGCAGGGGACGGGGATGGGGTGATTTGGTGGAGGGGGAGGGAAGGAGGGGGGATGTGTATATAGATACCCGGTGTTGCGTTGCAGGCGCAATGCGGTGGTGGCGGCTAGCTAGCTAGCTAGCTTATAGCGGGGTAGATGGGCGTGGAGAGAAGTCGAATCTCAGCTCTAGGTCTGGATAGCATTTCTTGTTCTTGTCGATCGCGCGCGTGTTTTTTGTAGCATTATATCGCTGTGGCTGCTGGCTGCGGCTGGTGAATATCCCAGGGAAAAAAATCAAAAAATTAAAGGTCAGAAATCAGCAGTGTTGAAAACGGAAAGGGCCCCGGGGGGGGGGGGGGGGGGGGGAGTATTTGGAGTGTAGTTGTTGCTATCGAAACCACAGAAAGGACGTACCTGGATTGAAGAGAAGAGATGGTTGAGTTTGCATAGGTTAGCTAAGGAAACACCACGGCAATAGTTCTTAAATGTCTCGGTTCTTATATGCATGGCTGTGGTATTTTCTGTCGCTGGATGTTGTATCTCATGGGAAGTAGATACATGTGGTTATAGTGGTCGACTACCATGAGGGATAAGAGAGGGAAGGATTAAAATAAATAGTACATGCCCAGCTAGCCAAACACCACCAGTTTTTTTTCTTACAACCCATTCGCGGTCCCTGTATAGTTGACTTTGTAGTAGAATAGTGGTAGCGATCTCCTATGGCCCGGCCGCGTGAATCATGGAGTATCACTCGATGGTAGGATTGGTTCAATGGTCGAGTGTAGCGACCCACGTCCGATTAATTGGTGGTTCGTTTATTGTGGCGGTTTTCGTCTCTATATCAGGGCCAGCTGAAACCTTTCTTTCGGATCTTTGTTTTTTTCTTTTCTTGTCACTGGTAGAGTACATACCGTTTGTAAGGCGGTTTAAGTAGTTCAATGGCGAGGGTGGTTGCTATGCTAGTTGGGACTTGGGTTTTTTTTTATATTATTATTGGTTTTGGTTTTTGGGCAAGGGCTTTTGTGTGCTCCGGCCAAAACTTCTTGGCGCCAAAGTCCCTAGTATAACTTTTCAACCTTAAAATCTGTCAGGTCGTTCTCTTGTTTATTGCTATTTCTAGAACTAGTTCTGGTAGATTTTTGATATATCATGGTTGAAAAGTTATAGTGGGCTTGGAGTTACGTGCAGGATGTAGTGCACATGTATGGACTGTATGTAGTTCCTCAAAATTAAAATGTTTTTGCTGCTTATATAATTACTCTAGTCTCGTGAGCCAGACGACCTACCTATCATGTTAGTCATCACCATCTTTCAGAGAGTGTACCCAAGACCAAGCTTATCCGGAAAGAGAGTGTTAGTGTTTTTTTAGCATGTTCTCTCCATATTCCCTCTAAAGCCTTCTTTTTTTTTGTTAACTACTTCTATTTACATTTCTCTGTCTTCTTACAATCCCCCGATTCTTTCCCACTCTTTCCGAAAAGTTTGCGTTGAAATATCGACAACCTCGACATCTCTTGGCACCCACCCTTCACCCGATTACATAATACACAGGTTGGCTTTATGGAGCTTACCGAGACGATTACTTTGGTCTCCCTTCTGGTTACGTTCGTCGTCGGAGTCCCGGGCCTCGTCCTTCTATTCTTTCAAATACGCAAATGTGTGCGTGACAAACGAGTTCAAAAGGCAAGCACTATCTACTAACTAAGATACAAGTTCTTTCTATATTACTTTAGGATCTAACGTAACAGCTGCAGACCACCGTCGTTCCCGATGTTGAGAGCTCGAATCCACCCGCAGCTGCCAGCTCCAACGAACCCAGTCCTTCAAATCCATCTAACGGGAACGTTATAAATCACAACATCTTCAACTTCTACCCAGGACATCATCCAGACGTTGCAGTGCCTCTGGCAGTCATCTTTCCCCAAAGGGTACTTAGCGGAGGCATCGAAGGAGACCCAGCTACTAGTCACGGGAATCCTTTGCCACCTTGGAGAGTAGGAACCTGGCCGTCAGTGTTGAGGAGGCAGTGATTGCGAAGCTGGAGTTGAGTTTGTCCGCTTTCTAGGAGGAAACCTAGCAACAGGAAAGATCACGGTTTCAGCGAGGAATTTATTTAGGAGCGAATTTGGTTTTTTTCTTCTTTCTTTCTTTACGGCACGAAGATATTGTAGTGCTAGATCATTTCCTAGTTATAAGTTTTGGTTGTATTTACAAATTGCAAAATAATCTTTTGTCTATCTGTAATAAAGCAGTAGAGTATGAATCAATGATAGCGTAACTAGTGTACCAAACTCTCAAGGCTCTCCCTACGGTCTACAGTTTCTGAACGGGGGGGCCTCACGATTTTGTATCGTACAGCCTCGCTGGCATGTCTTAGAGTTGAGTTAGTGATTGGAAGCTTGGCAAACAAATAGCCCTAACCCATTCAGCCTTGGGGGGGGCAGAGCACATGCAGTTTGTGAGTTCGCGAGAAAGTCGGTTTAGGTTGCCTGCAACTAACCGAACCAGCTCGGCATGATGGTAGAGTGCGAAGCCTGGTAGCTAGCCCTAGGCCTCCTTGATCATAAATACGGCCTATACTGACTTCAGCCGGCCGGGTCAAGAAAAAAAATGAACAAAATATTTCGCAATTGAAACTGAAATTGCTACCTGTGTCTCCCTCCCGGAGCGCCCCCAGATAGCAACGGGTCAAAGCAGTGTTCCTTCACAAATAATTTGACATATCCTTAATCTACTCTAATAAGCCTGATTGTGGCGAATTCAATCCCGTGAGTACCGTTACAACAACAAACCAATAGGGTTCTAATTTAGAAGCGCAGATATTTCCTTAAGTAGTAGTGGACATACGTTATGTCTAGATTAGCGTAACAACTGTGTCTACTTATATGCCGATGGGTGTAATATGGCTAGGATAGACGTTTAGTTTTAATAAATTCCGACATAATAATATGAGTTTGAATTCAACGACCTGTGATTGCACAGAGGGGTCGTGTTGCATGTAGCAGAGCACGTAAATTCAACATCTTGTAAAGTACAGCCGGGAAGGAGCAGTGGTTCCCGTTAGAGTAGAACCGGTACTTGCGATGACGAGGAATGCCGGCTCCGGCCAATTACCAATAGTATATACATATCGGCTCTAGTCTCGTTCCCAGATTGTTTTGTTGCACTGTGTTGCGCAGAGTCAAAGACAGTGTCGGCTCCTGATTGGTACTGCATTGGGGGCTTGAAATCGCTGGGGGATGGCTGGGACCTATCCATCCTGAGTGAATCCTCGATCAGTAATACCCCGGGTCACAAGTAATACCCCGGGTCACAAATAATCACTCGCACCAGAATCACTGTGCTTCTACAATTGCAATGGCAGTAACGAGTATACCGTCTACAACGTGCAATTCCACACACGTTACAAACGCCCGCCTATGACAATTGTCGACAACCTTTGATACCCTACCTGTGAACTGACGGACAGAGGGGGCATTAGAACTCGATTTAATCCATATAAATACCCCCCAAACCCATTCAAACCCGACTTTCATACATTGTTAACGTTAATCCTTCAGCTTATTCTATCCACCACCGTTCGGCTTTTTGCGCGCTATCGACTAACTAGCGTACCTTGATCTCTCTAGAAGGATGCCTTCACACTTAACTACCGGCGAAATTATCGGCACGACCTTGGGTGTTCTCTCCATCATAACACCGCTCGTTATACTCTTCATTTCATATATCATTCAAGCATGCAAAAAGGTACTCGCTAGTCAATGATAACTTTTATTGATTCTCTTTCCTTATCAGCACTCTAAGGGTCTAATATATATATGCTAGGGAGCCACACGCAGACCGGAGACTAGTGATGAAGAAAGTCGTGAGCGGGATGCTCCCCCACCGCCGGCACCTGCTACCAGCGGAAACACATTTCACATACGCGAAGCTCATCTCAGTTTCTACCCCGAGTCAAAGACCGATATAGACGCTATAAATCCTCCTACTATTACCTACCCTCACGTCGTTTTAAGTAGGGACACGATAGGGGGCCTTAGCACTGTTCCAAACGGGAGTTTATCCGAAATGACAAGATCAATGGTTCATAGGATTGATACGGTTAATGACAGTAGTGAAAGGTTGGATTACCTGACCTCTCTGGTATGGGCTCACTAGTTCACCATACTAATACATAGAAGCTATCGTAATGCCCTATCTACCTCAGATCTAGAGCCGACTCAAATTGCCCCGACTGAGATGCCTAGCACCCCAGATTCCGCATCACCACCCGCAGAAAAAAACGAGAAAAAGGCCGAATAGCTTTGGCTTCTAAGGTAAGCATATTCCATTAACCCCTTCGGCCTAAAACCGAATCCTTCTCTCTATAATCAAGGCCCAACTCTCTTACAATAGACACCAGTGAGTGCGGGTATACGTAACTACATCATTCGAATGTCCGCTAGTTTTGGTTATATTCATGTTTAAACGTTTAGGGATTCGGGGCGCATTCTTTAATTTTCTTTACTCTACAAAAATATAAACAAGTTATATATAGCATGCATATGGAGCCAGCGATATCGATACTTTAGTTGTAGATATCAATGATCATTTTCTGCATGGATGATGTCCCTCCCATGAAGCCTGCCCTGTTTGACTCGCTAGTTAGTGATAGAACTTAAAGGTATATATGCGGGGCTTATGATGGTAGGAGCAAAATGTTTTGAGGTGGACAAAACGCAGGCAAACTTCTATCAATGTTGGTATATATACAGTATACGAAGTATACCTTCTTTAGCATAAGTGGCGTCCCTCCCACGAAGCCTGCCCTGTTAAACTCGCTAGTAGGTCATGGGAGCGAGATGTTTAGATCTGAGGTGGACAAAGAGCAGGTTACACATCCCCCCAGCAGCGTCGGTAATGACCCATGCGCACGGCCCGTAGCGACGGGGCCAGGACCTCAGTGTTAGGATCGGGTCGAAGATCAAGAGTCGTAAAAGGCAATGACCTAGCTAGGTCATGTCCTCTCCCAGGGACGTATCATCAAGCTATGGGGAACTCGAGAAAAGTCCGTATATTTTTCTAATAGGATCGTATTTCTTGGCATTGATACCCTACATTACCGGTCGAAGACCTGGTCCCATCAAAATCGTTAGAACCCCCGTAGTTACCAGGAACACCTCTAAACATCAGGGAAGGTGGTCAACTGCAGCATCGATGTGCGCTGGAAATACCTATGCATGCAGAGCTTCTTCCGCCGTCCATGCCCCGTCTGTACCAGGAGCAATAGTTACTCCCCGTGCCACAAGTTCTTGCTAGTGCCGATAGCCAAAACACCGTCTTCGAGCCACAACTATCCCCCACACCATAGTTTCCGAAAACGGAGGGGGACGAAGAAGGGATCGGACTAGATCATCGGTTTTGACTGTCTTAGTATGGTACTTCAAGAGCAGCTAGGGGTAACTGAAGGGGGTTACCTCGCTGCAGAAGTTTAGATCCCCCACCGGCACAAAGTATCTAATACTGGGCCGCCCCCCGACTGGAGCTGGTGTGTGTTGTTGCATGATTGGTCCATACATGGCGAGAAAAACCGGCTCAAGAGAAAAAAAGGTTTTGCAGCCAGAAGTTTAATACTCCTGCCCTGTTCATCTACTTACTCGTCAGCTCTCCCCCTCTTCCTCTTCCCCTCTCCCAATGCAGGTTACAGGTGGCGGAGCAAGGAGAGTCTACCCATTGGCCCAGAAGTGCAATTTTATGACTAAAAAATGCACCAGCAAATACTGACATGTGCGGGTCATACTTAGTTCTCCAGATCCCTGGTTCCACCCCCAGCTCTCTCATTTTAAACAGAGGGATTCAAACAGTACTATCAGGACTGGGGGACCACCTCACGACCGCGAGTTGTACTTTGGATTATGGGTATCAATCAAGTGTTCAAAAATTCTGGAAGGCCTTCAATGGGGGGGGCTCCGCCTCACCTCCACATCCACCTTCCACTCTCCCCCAATTAATTCAATCAATTCTTCTAGAATTATTGGGGCCTTCGGCCCCGTACTCCTCCTTCCTTCCATCACTATGTCGTGCTTACTAAACCACCCTGTCACTTCCAGCCAATCAGAGCGACAGTACATATTCGATTGATATCTAGGATATGATGCAGTCTAAGTTGGGCCCCAATGAGCACGCCCCATTTGCGAAGAGATAGTCACAACATGTCATCTACTACTAGAGCTTAAAGTTTGACAGATAGAATGTTATCAACTAGAATCATATGTAGCGGACCGGACCGGGCACTGTGTCATGTTACGAAAGCTTACCTCGCTATATATGAAAACTCTCGGAACAAGGTGCTGGTATCTTATATAGAGAGAGAGTACTTCCCGCCCAGGATCTTTTACACCACCGTTTCTCTCAGCCCTGTTGAAGAATTCCAATGCAGACTTTAATTCCCTAGGTAATCAATTCCATGCGTACAAGGCTCTGGGATTAAGTGAGTGAACGGATCCACACCAGTCAACACCCCATTTAGTTCACTCACTTAATGCCAGAGCCTTGTACTAGGGTGTAGCGAGAAGTGGTCAGAATCTGATAAGACAAATACACGTACTCACCGCAACATCCACTTATCAGATTCTGATCACTTACCCTCAACACCCGGTACAGATCAGACTCTGGGTTAGGGCCAAATCTCAGGCCAATTAGTGTACTTCATTTTCAACACCTAACGATTTGCCCCTACCAGCCTGTCACGGTACACCACGTGCACTACACACACCACTGATTCCTGCATCAAGCAATGAGAGCCCAGCTACATGTAGAGCTACAGCCCAATTTGGAATCCAATATACGGCCTCCCTAGCCACTCGGACACCCCCTCACTCGGACAGTCAATCATGATTGGTTGAAAGAGGTACTGAAGCCACTTAAACGTTGATATTTTTTTTTTCTACGTTAACTGTCCGAGTGAGAGGGGTGTCCGAGTGGCCCGGGAGGCCGTCTATCAATGACAATGCCAACAATAGCAAAGTAATTTTAGCCGCTCAACGTCATA